TAAAACCTATCTCAACACTTTGTATATTGATGAATCTGATGTTATACAATCCTTTCCTGAGATCACATGTGAGTCAGTAAAAGAAACCTTGTGGACAATAAAATCGAATGCCACAGGTGTAGATGATATCAATTTGAAAATGCTGAAGTATGCTCCCCTTTTATGTAAAAATGCCCTTACATCAATTTGCAATGTGTGAAACTAGGTGCAGAAGTATCAAGGAAAAGAGCAGTCACTTGTGGTGTACCACAAGGCAGTATACCGGGTCCGCTCTTATTCACCATATTTACAGCAGATCTAGTGAAATCATTACTACCTACTTGTTCTGTGCATATGTATATGCGGATGACGTTCAATTATATCTTATATTTATTATTATTCCCAAGAAACATACATGTTTATAGCAGGGAAAATTATGAAAGAGCAACTAAAAAAAAAACAAAAATTAGATAATCAGATAATCATTTTTAAATCATATACATAATACATATAATGTTGTTTCTTCTAGAGACTGTTGAATATAATTTCTTGAATTGATTCAGGATGACATGGAGAGAATCAAAGACATAAGTATTTTTTCAGTTCTTTTTTGAATTTTTCAACACTTAATTTTTTCTTTAGTCTGGCAGGTAATTCATTATAGAGAATTGTTCCATTGTATAAAATAGATCTTTTACCGATATCTGATTTAATTTTGATGAGAGTTAACATATCTTTTTGTCTGGTTATGTGTTCGTGTTTATGACTATTGACTTCAAAATTCAGATTTGAATGTTTATAATTATATTTGACGGATATTGTGATCCATCTGAAGTTGCCTATTTCATATGTGAATTGAATCATAATCTTCAACTGATAAGTGATTACTCTGAGACCCATGGACTAACTATTAATCCATATAAAACAGTTCCTATTTGCCTTGGCACAAAAATTATGGTAACCAGAGCTCAATCGACACAAACCTGCAATATAATGTTGAACGATACTGTTGTCAATCTGAGCTGTGATGCGGAAAATCTGGGTATAGTCATTGATGAAACATTAACCTTCGAAAAACATGTCTCAGGAAAACTGAAAGTATGCTATTTGTTGAAATGCACTAATAGAGTTGGCAACGTCGAAATCACGTTCACCCTATAAGTCATATTATTTTTCATGTTGTTCTGCAATCTGTCAAAATTCAAAAAGTAACTGTACAAAAGTATTGCAACAGACGCTATAAGAAAATGTAAATGTACTGTTAATACAATAAATTATCAAGAATAAACGGTGTTCATAATCATAGAAGGACTATTCATTCAAGAAGAAAACCTAGTTTTCAACAGGTTATGGGCCCAGGCACCATATCAAGAAGTTTTGTGTTCAATAGAGATACCTATTAAATTAGAAAAATGAATAAGTCCAGTGACTACGGAATTGGAAATGGACAACAACCAACAGTGATAAACAAGTATGGCATCGTTCCATTTGCTGGTATTGGGTTCAGCAATTGGGTTTATAGAATTAAAATAGTTTTTTCAGAATATGAATGCTTAGGAGTCGTTGAAGAAACCAGAGAGGAAACAGATATAAATTGGGAGAAAAGGAATGCAAAAGCAACGGCCATTATAGTTCAGTGCATGAGTGATAGCCATCTCTAGTACATAAAAGACTGTAACAGTGCCAAAGAAATCTTAGAAAATTCAAAACTACATTTCAGAGAACTGGAATAGCCTCTCAACTCCTAATCAAAAAAAGGCTTCTTGTCCTAAGATACAATGACAGAGAAAGCCTAGAAAATCATTTCATTGAATTTGACAAACTAGTTAGGGACCTCAAATCCTCAGGGGCTAAACCTGATGATACAGAAATCATTTGCAACTTGCTAATGATAATGCCTGCTCCATATGACAATGTCATCACAGCCATAGAAACAATTTCCTCCAAAGACCTAACTATAGAGTTCGTAAAAACTCGTTTATTAGATGAAGAAATAAAGAAGAAAGGGGTGAATGAGACAAGAAATCCATCAGAATCACACTCATCTGGCTTTTTCAATAAGAACAGCAACACAAATATGCAGAAGAAATTTCAATTTGAGTGCTACAACTGTGGGAAGAAGGGACACATTAAATCAGAGTTCAGATTTGAGAAGTATACAGGAAGACCAAAACAGAACCATAAGAAGGAGGCACACTCCACAGAAGAAGAAAAAGGAGAAACAGCATTTATTGCCTTTGCAAACAATGTCAGCAGTACATCAAGAATTCCAGATGAAATTGAATTCATAGCAGACTCAGGTGCAACAGATCACCTAGTTAATGATGAAACATTCTTTAATCGAGAAGTAATTGACCTAGAAAAACCAAATCAGAATCAGTGTAGCAAAAGAAGGAGAATGTCTACTAGCAACAAAAAGGGGTACAATCAGAACAACATGCTGCAACCTGTTAAATGTCCTCTAGGTTCCAGGTTTGAGATGTAATCTATTTTCTATAAGTAGGTGTGAAAGTGCAGGGTTTTGTATAAAATTTGAAAAATCTAAAGTTGAAATTTGCAAAAATAATCTGTCAATCATAGAAGGACAGTGTCAACTTTAAATCAGAAATCAAAGGACAGGCACATAAAGATTACTCTGTCTATATATATAAAAAAAATGTTATCCAGGCTTGAAATGACAAATGGTAAAGGTGAAAAGACACCAATTGAAAAAGGTTTGAAATTGAGTAAATCAGAAAATCAATATGATTCATGCAAACATCCGTATCGTGAACTAATAGGGTGTTTAATGTATCTAATGATTGGTTCTCGACCTGATCTAAGTTTTGCATTAAATTACTCCACCAAGAAAGTGCAACAGAGGAGCATTGGACTCATTTAAAAAGAGTTTCACTTTATTTTAAAGAAACTGATAGTCTAGACTTGACTTATACTAATAAAAGTAGTGAAATGATTGCTCATGGGTATGTTGACTCAGATTGGGGATGGGATATTGAGGATCGTAGATCAGTAACGGGCTTTTGCCTAATGGTCTATAATAATTTAATTGCATGGGGTACTAGGAAACAAACTAGCGTTTCATTATCCTCTACTGAATCGGAATACAAAGCTTTATGTACTGTTATATGTGAATCTTTGTCATTGAAAGGTATTTTAAATGATATGAATCTTGGAATCAAAGAGTTGTGCTTATATGAAGACAATCAGTTTTGTATACATTCAGCTCGCAATAGAGAAAATAATAAACGAACTGAACATTTTGAAAACAAGTATCACTTCATTCGTGAAAAAATAGAGGACGGTGATATAATTTTAAAATATATTCCAACATCTGAACAAATTACTGATACATCAACAAAAGGTTTAGATTACAAATCATTCAAATATTTTAGTGTTAAGTTAGGAATGTATTGATAGACAGTTCATTTTTCTCAAATTGTTTTATTTTTGATAAAAGTTAGAATGTAGTTATGTAGTTAAAATAAAAGGCTAATATGATTACGAAGTTGAGTATAGGGGTGTTGAAATGCACTAATAGAGTTGGCAACGTCGAAATCACGTTCACCCTATAAGTCATAAGTCATGTTGATATTATGTTCCATGTTGTTCTGCAATCTGTCAAAATTCAAAAAGTAACTGTACAAAAGTATTGCAACAGACGCTATAAGACAATGTAAATGTACTGTTAATACAATGAATTATCAAGAATAAACGGTGTTCATAATTATAGAAGGACTATTCATTCAACCAAGTTGAACAAAATGGAATCTTGTAAATATACTTATTATCAGTCAGCTCGATTATGGTTACTATAACTTTCTGAATGATTGTTTCAAGCGAAAGTTACAAATATTGCAGAATAATTGCTTGAGATACTCAAACAATAATATAAAATGACGTGACCACATAACTCCGTACTATGTAAGCATGAACATCTTGAAAATTGAACAAAGGTTTGCTCTTTTATATGGATCACTCGTATACAACGTTTACAGAAATGAAATACCTAGTTATTTGTATGACTTATTGATCAAAAGGCCAGATATCGCTATCAATCTAAGGAATACTGATAATATGATAGTTCCAAGGCACAAAACATCCAAATTCCAGAAATGTTATTCATATATTGCTCCTTTCATGTACAACACACACAAAGAATTTTTCATGCTGGACTCGTTAAATAAATTTAAAACAGAGTATCGTAAGAATCTGAGCGCAGCTCTCACCAAGTGGATATATTTATATTTATTGAGAACATATCATTAGTGCCGAGTGATCTAGTCTAACTTAGTTCACGGTGTTCATCATTTTTTATAGTTTATTTAATTAATCAGTAAATTTTTTCTGTATATTTTCCTGTATATTATGTAGTATGTATTGTTTATATCGTTTCTCTTTATATTTATTCATTATGTTATGTTTTATTGTAATTATTCAGGCAGAATTGAGAAATGGCTTTGCCAATATTCTGTCTTTTTGGAGTAGTAAGACCATAATATATTGTTTCGCGATGAATTTGTTATACATATTGCGGGTATTACTTCAATAAACATTATTATTATTATTATTATATTATATTCAGTATGATTCTCATGATTGAAGACTGACAATCTAGAATGTTCAAGTTTCAATATTAGGTTGTAGGGTGAACTTTCCAAGAAGTGGAACACATATAACCGAGGGGAGATCAGGTAAACAGGTGAAACTGGTGAAATGTAAGTAACAGGTGATACAGGTGGAACATGAAATACGTTGAGGAGGTGAAACCAGTAAATCAGGCAAAACAGGAGATTTGAGCGGAAAAACAGGTATTTCTGTATAATCCAACCCTCTGATCATCGTCGATAAATCAAGTGATGTACACTCTTTCAATTCTTCAGCAATCAAGTAGGTGTAATAGGTGAGATAAACGCAGGTGATAAGGTAAATCGTAAATGAGTGGGTGACACAGGTGAGACAGGTAGAAACACATGTGACACTTCTGCACCTCGGAAAGTCTCCACAAACCACAACTAGACCACCTATTGTCTGAGACAGTTTGAGAACTTGATGGACAGCTTATCAAACTGTCGCAGGACCACTCCAGATGCACTACTCGCCAAGATCACTCGAGAGGCCATTTCCAACATTCTAACTGAAATGTGTCATCGGGTCTTTTGACATGCTATTCGGAGGATAGTCAACATTTGGATAACATTATGTCTGAAAACAGCCTCCTCTCACCTGGAAAATTCCTGTATCCTGCTGGTCCTGACCTAGGCCGCGCATTCCCATTGCTGGTTGTGCTGGCATTGCTGCTGGTGCTCGGGCTCCTGTGCATCTCAGACTGTGACCGTGAACTCCTCCGCCGCACCCTCTTCTGGCTCTGGCGGCACACGCCGGTGGGGCAGCGCTCCCCCAGAGCGCAGCGTCCCTCGCAGATGGTGCGCGACTGCAGCAGCTCCTCGTAGTTGTTGAGCATCATGGCGATTTGCTCCTGGTCCTTGTAGACGAGCGCCAGGCTCGGATAGCGTTCTTTCAGGCGACGACGTTCCTGCATAATTCCACAGTTAGGTAGGGTGGTGTAGAGTTCCTTAATTTACCTACTCGATACTTTTATTTTATTTTTGTTCATTCATGCTATGTTACGAATTCAACTGTCGGCAGTGTCAGTAGTGCCACTGACATTGCTGAAATTCTGATTTTCCGAAATAGTTCAGTATTCGAACTGGGATTATTTTTGCTGGAATCTATAACAATTTCTACAGTAGGGAAGAGCTGTCACTATGCAGTCATTCACTATTACATTTTTCATAATAAATGTTTGAAATAGAACAAAAAAGAACAGATAATTCGTACGTGGACCAGCAACTTATTATTTTAGAATGATTTTCATTATGGCAAATCGATGACGAATCGAACGAACCACCATCGAGATTTGATGATGAGCAGAATGTGATTTGAATAATTTTCTTCGATAATCATAAACATAAACATCTACATCATAATGATGCTCTCAAATTATGTTCACTTCATCATTGACTACATCATAATGATGCCCTCAAATTATGTTCACTTCATCATTGACTTCACACCACCTATCCTCAGGTAATCAGTAATTTCAGCACGAATCTGAGCCAAAAATATTCAGAATGGTTAGTGTTTCTGCTCTCGAGATTTGCCACTTTCAGTGACATCTTCGAGTTCGGAACGAATAACTAGTAGTTTCAGTACTGAAAGTTGAATTCAGAATCTAACTCTAGAGTAGGGACACTCTAACAAGCAGTGATAGAAAGACATAACCACGAATGATCTTGAAGCAGATCATTGAATATCATCAAATTAGTATTGGTGGGTATAATCTATACAGTGTGGATCGGAATTCCAGAGGAGGAAGATTGTTTTTCCCTATTCGTAATGAAATTCGTTGTGAAATACTCAATCATCCTGTTCAGCATTGCGAGCAATTATGGATGAAAATTAAAACGAATGAAAAATGTTTTCCTATAGGAGGAATGCATCGTCCTCCTTCTGGAGATGTTTACAGGTTCCTGGAAAAATTCGAGGATACATTGAACTCAATATACCCAGTCGTAGGCAATATTGTATGTACAGGGGACTCAAATATAAAATTGTTAGATTATGGAGATACATACGTCAAGAAACTTTCATCCTTCAACATCAACCAAATAATAAATACTCCTACGCGAATAACAGATAATACTGCAACTCTTGTGGATGTTATTATAACTGCTGAGGAAGAAGTAGTGGAGAGTGGTGTTGTGGATATTGGAGATAATTCTGATCATTTACTTGTGTATTGAAGACTACGATTGTTTGATAGAGAGCGGGAACCAATACTATGTACATACAGAAATTTCAAATATTTCAGTGAAGAAGACATCAAGAGAGATCTATATCTAACTCCTTTTTTTCAGAATATATTATTTTGAGAATGCAGACGGAAAAATATCCTTCTTGGTGAATTGAATAGTCAACATATTTGATAGACATGCACCGATTACTACTTCGAGGATAACAAAAAAAAAAAGAGCACCGTGGCTAACAGATGTTCTGAGAGAAATGATGTCGATAGGAGACAAGGAATTGAAGCGGTAAAACAACACGATCAGATATTCATCTAGAAGATATGCGCAACTTCACAAACCAGTCTATTGAAAGAGAAAAACGAGCCTACTTCATTCATATATTCGATCAAAATAATTCAAACCAAATGTGGAAGACTATGAAGGCGAATAACTTTTTGAATAAACAATCCCACGACATTCCTCTTGCTTGAAAAAGCCTGAGGCAAAAAATCATTACTACATAAATTCAAATTCAATAATTGGATCCCCACAGGAACTTTCCTTATTTTATAGACACAATAAAGTAAACAATTCTCATTTCAGGTTCAGAGATATAAAAGACTGATTTGTTTATCAAACTATATGTCAAATAGAAACTTATGCCGCTGGCTGCGATGGTTAGAATATCAGATGTATCAGATTATGTTGCCCTTTTATAATAACCTATGTCACCAATATCGTGAATTTTTGATTAGCAAATAATGTTTTTCCTACAATGTGGAGAAGTGCAGTAGTGAAAGTCTTGCCAAAGAAATCAAACCCCAGTGAATATACAGATCTTTGCCCTATTAGGGTCTTACCTACCCTTTCAAAAATTTCAGAGAAAGCCATAGAAATTCAGGTGCAGGTGCATCTTGAAATCTACTCTTCATTGCCAACAATACAATCTGGATTTCGCAGGGGTTATAGTTGCATAACTGCCCTTCTACACGTTGTGGATGACATTCTCAAAGCAACGGATCCAGGTAATTGTGTAGTTTTGATTCTTCTAGATTTCAGTCGAGCATTCGAAACGATTAATTACAATTTGCTATTGAATATTTTGCATTATATAGGTCTCTCCCAAGTTTCTCTTATCGAGTCAGTACACAAAATGCAAGGTAGTACTGTCGACTACGCCGTTAGTTACTTAGGCTCAAAGCTCTTCGCTGCTGGTCAAGCCAACGTGACTTTAAGTAGGGTGAAATCATTAGAAGGTGTCCTTGTTGAAGAGCTGGACTGTTTGAAATTAACGGCAAACGACCTTGCAACAATGATGCGTTAAATAAAATGAACAGACTAAGAAACCTAGCCAGCAATAACTAAAAATCAAAAGATAGATTGAAAGTAACTAAAAAATTTTATAAGATGCTTTCATTCACAAGAACTAATTGAATTTTGTTAAATCTGCTTAGTTTAAATTGAAATCTCAATTTAATCAAATATCAATCATCGCGACAAACGTTTATGATAATATAAATTGTGTATAATGAGGTTATGAGCTGATAGTTGAAATTATAAAGGAACATTTTATTTTATTCTTCTCAGAGCGTTTTGAGAAATGCCTTTTATAATTTTTTTCCACTTTGAATTCATTTCTATTCATTTAGTGATGAATGCTCATCTCATTCTTAATAGTGAACCTTGAAAATGTTCGAGAAAATTGTTCATGTGAGAATTTTCAATATCACGAGGAATAAGATCAATCTCCAACAACATGGCTTTTTCCCTGGTAGATCCATTGATACGAATTTGATTAAATTCACAGATCATATCATAGAACAGAAGAATGATCAAACGCAAGTGAATATGGTATACACTGATTTCAGTAAGGTCTTCGATAAACTCAGTCACGCATTTCTCATTAACAGGCTCGTTGAAGTCGGTAGTGGTTCGTATGTTCGTGAGTGGATATGGTCACAGTTGAAAGAATTAATAGGTTTATCAGTAAGCTCAGTCTACGTCGGGACTTTGATATTTCTAGATCAAAACCGAGCCGCTGACAGCTGCACTCATTTGATTCACGGCGTCTTTACTGGGGAAGTCAAATTCAATAAGACCATTGATGTCATCTAAGCAATTTGCACCATCGACAGTATCAGGCCCATTTGAATACAAAATTGATCACAAACAATTGCAATGTATCCCGAGATAACTTGTACACTGCGCTATCAAACGACGCGATGCAATTTTCTGGGCCACCCGATACAATGGACAACGGTCGGCATACTGCTAGCAGTCTACCTGGGCGCGTATTGCCAAACCCACGAGGTTTGTTAATCTGTCCCCACGTGCAGTACAGAGCACGCAGTGATTTTCATGCTCTGAATCACTCGGGGCTTTGCATGTGACGACCGCGCATTTGGTGTTCGCAAATCCCCGTGCAGTACAGAGCACGCTGTGACTCGAGGCTTTGTGAGTGACAACGCTGCATTTGGTTAGACAAAATCAAGTGTAATACAGAGCAAGATAGATACCTACATAACAATATTTTTGCTTTATGACTAATGATCCAATATATTTTTTCTTTCATAAATTAACCACTTAGTAATTTGTTTATTCAATAATACAATATACAGTTAGGAATTGAAACGTATGAATTGGACAATGATAATGCATTTGTCATAAAAAAAATTCCTTAGACATAATATTATAGTTCACTAGGCTTAAGTTGCCATTCTAGGGATATACAAATTCAAATGTATTACACTTATATCAGAATCTCGGAAACTCGGGGAGATACAGGGTTGGTTTAATTAAAGCAAAGTCGCACATTTCAATCCTGAATGTTTGTTATGGAATTTCAGAAAATCAATATTTTATACTGACTTACAATTTCCTATAACGTTACATCGTTAATATGAATCGTAGAAGAAATGAATAAAAAAAACATCAGGAAATCTCCAGCGAATATAATTCATTTCTCAAAAAGTACTCAGGATTAGTGTGTTTGTAATTTGGTGTTATGGGTTTCTCAGTATAGTGCTGATTTGGAATTTTTGGGGCAATGTTAAATGTACGTACAAAAATGGAATTATGAGAGTAGAAAATCCCAAATAGTTTGGCAACATGTATGAATTGATAGGTTTCAAAAGGTCCACTAGGCCGCCCCTGAAATAAAATAGATCCATGACTGAAAAGAGTGCCAATACCTACGTATTCAACAAAGGAAAATGTCTGTCCTTGTTATTTCTGTCCTTGCAAAATATTGGAAATGAGGCTCAAATTCATTGAATACAAAAGTACAACAAATCAGGTATTGATGTACATTATTCCAAATTTTTTGGGATTTTCGGTCTATAAGATGAAAATATGGGTATTATTTCAATATACGTGTAGAAAGGTCGAACCAGATGAATTTCACCAAAATGTCATTGTTAGAGAGCCTAGGAGAAAAATTCATTCGCTTGTCAGTAACAGTTTGTTTCGAAAAAGGGGGTAGATTCGTTTCCAAAACGTCCAGAAATGAGTGGAAATTTGATATTGATAATGTCTCAAGAAATATATCAATTGGCAATTGTATGAAACGAAATGAACCAGGATATTGATACTCTAGGCAGCGTTCCAAAGCTGCTCTCAATAGCACTGGCATTTGCCTGCGCTGTGTAGGACCAAATCAATAGAAAAACCCAGTGCGACTCAGAACATGACGCGAATGGCTCGCTCTGCACTCTACGGGGGTTTTGCAATACGCTGATGCCCGGGCAGACGGGGTAGGAGTAACGATATGTTCAGAACATTTGAGAGAGTGCGGCAACTGATATATCAGTTATTTCAACTGTAATATGGTTCTTTATCACTCAGTATAGATGATGTCAATAGTTTTCATAATCAATCACACCCTTTCCAGTTGTTATCCAGAATGCGCCAATTAAATTTCAAAAGGCGTCAATTGTATTTCAGGATATTCACTTGATCTATCAATTCAGCCATAACCTAACCTCACCTCCAAGATTTTGGTGCACTCGAAATCTTCCAATTGTTTCTGGAAGCCTAAGTTTGGATTAGCAACAGCTCTACCGGCTCTGACAACTTTGAGCGCTTCTTTCCAGTTGAGATTGGACACGGACATGATGTAGGCAACTGCTACAGTTACGCTTCGGGACATGCCGGCCAAACTGAAAAACAAGGTTTTCGTATTTTAAACATAGTTCCTCGCAATAGGACTGTTTCAGTGATTGATCCATAATTCAGATCTACACTATTTCAAAACTTGTTGATAATAATAATAATAATAATAATGATAATATTAATAATGATAATAATAAGATGAGGCGTAGAAGGCATGCTCTGTGGATTGAGCAACACCCAGAGCATGGAGCATTCACAGCTCAAAATCTGCGGGATTATGTATCTCACCTACGCGCAAGACAATACGTAAGAGTCCCTTCTCGGCAGGAAGATGGTGTTGGAGGAACAACACGCTCCACCCATCCTGTTCCACAACGAGAGAGGGGACCGTGTGCTTCCTGAGGTGAGCGAAAAATCAGGAACCGCAGGAGCCTACTCAACATTAAGGCCCTGCGGACCCGAGACCCTGCAAGGATGGATGAATCGCTTCTCTGCCAGAGAGACCTATACAAACGGTCTCACCGATTGAGAGGGCCGATCGGCGTGTACAGAAGATGGAAGCCAAGATCCAGTCGGCGAGACAACACACTTCCCGTATCCAGTGTGTGATTATGTGAGTGCCAACAGGCCATTCACATCGAAGGTGCGACGGATGGCCACTAAATTACGTCGCACCCATCACACACTAAATGAGGCAGTGCTATCCACCATCAAACAGCATTGCCTCGAAAGGATACGATTGTTAGTGGCTGCAAAACAGTCACTGAAGAGGCGAGCGAGAGGGCTGGCGGAAATAAACAATTCCGCGAGAAGCCCTATCGCTTATTTCAACCGCCTTCAAGTGTGGTTGACAATCCGCCGTCTGCTGATCAGGTGGAAACCTTCTGGAAGGGTATTTACGAGGCGAGAAGCCCTCAAAGGCTCCAAGAACTTTGCTGCTCCTGATCCCGACGGAATTAATAACTTCTGGTGGAAAAAGTTTCCCTCTACCCACCACCATGTAGCCAGGATATTTAATAGCTGGCTGAATGGGGAGAAGTAAATCCCTGAGTGGTTTATGGGGGGGCGATTCGTGCTTCTAACCAATACTGGAGATTTGTCCAATCTAAAGAATTACAGACCAATTACCCGCCTGAATTTGTTCACACGCATCTTGTATATGCGAGTACTGCTAGTAGTTGATCCGGTTCACCAGCGGATTTTTGAGCAGCGTGGGTCAAAGAGAGGTGTCGCTGGCTGTAAGGAGAACCTGTTGATAGATAGATCTATTACTCAAGACTCCGTGCAGTACGAGCGGAATCTTTATATGGCCTGGATCGATTACCGAAAGGCATTTGACACAACGTCACATGAGTTACTCGTGTACTTCCTCAAGTGTCTTTCGGTACCCGATTCTATAGTGAGATGCATAGAACAACTGGTGCTGGTCTGGAAGACCCGCTTTACTAAAACATCAGGTAATGCGAGAACAGACAGAGCCAGTCATCATAAGGGGAGGAGTATTTCAAGGAGACTCCCTTAGCCCTCTTATATTCTGCATCCCACTTCTGCCACTATCCGTTGAGCTCAGGAAAACCAGAGGATACAACTGTGGCCCACTCAGCTACTGACGGCATAATGTCTTCCTCTTATTTCATGTGGATGACCTCAAACTTTATGCCTCTGGTGAAAGGGATATTAACCAATACCTCAGGGTGGTGCAGCAGTATACCAAGGCAAATGAAATGGAATCCGGAGTGGACAAATGTGCACTGGGTCATCTCAAGAGAGGACGATGCAAGAACTACGACGAGGACGCGCAGCTCGTGGACGAAAGCATCCTACACCACCTGGTTGCCGAAGAGACGTACACTTACCTGGGTGTAGAGAAAACGCACATCCAGGAGGCACATCAAGTGATAGACGCCCTCCGCAGCAAGTATAGGCAGCGGATTCGACAGATCTGGTTGTCAGAACTGTCGGAAAAGAACAAAGTCGCTGCTACTAACATGCTTAATGTTTCGATCCTACTTCACTCAGTTAGAGTGATAAAGTGGACTCAAGTCGAGCTGCGACAACTTGCCGTAAGTAGTCGCAAGATGATCTCCATATGAGTCTGCATCCAAATTCGTCCGTTCCACTGTTATACATACCTAAAGACCAGGGTGGTCGTGGTCTCTTGAGCTTGGAGTATCTTCATAATAACAGAATGGTTCTGGATTTCGCCTGCAAAGTCATCAGGAGGTCAGATCCCCTCTTGCAAATGAAGAGGCAGGAGTAGGAGCTTGTCTTTTCAGGGCAGCACGTCGAGCAGCCGACAAATTGTCTCTGATTTTCGGCTCCGAGCGCGAGGATCAGGACTAAGTTACTGATGAGCTAGAGCCCGCTAGAGTGGGAAAGTTCCTGCAGCTGCACATGGATAAGGCCATGCATTCGGTCTACTTCAAGTCCATTGAAGACCGGGGCTTATCCAAAGAACTGACTTGCATAAAGTCAGGTTGACTCAAATCGGGAACAGATGGGTTCATCATGGCATGCCAGGATGGGGTTTTTGACACTCACGTCTACCGTAACCGTGTCATGGGTATGAAGGTCCCTGACACAAATTGCAGGGCCTGCCGCAGGGCGCCCGAGACAATTATACACCTGCTGTCTTCTTGCACGGTGTATACAGTCTCGGCCTATATCCATAGACGCAATGCGGCATTGCGAGTGCTCTACTACCATTTGAAGCCTTCGTACGGAATAGACGAGACCCCAGTCCCGCTTGAGACAAATCGATTTTCACTAAATAATCGTCTCTTTGGAGGAAAGAAAAGAAAGATATCCGTTGAGTCGCTTCAGGTTGAATATTGGACGATGTGAACCGTCTGGTTTCGGAACCAAAAATATGCTTGGTACCCTGTTTTCAGATGAAGTTTTCTGAGAACTTCTGTTTTTAGCATCGACTCTATTTCGGAATCCATCTTTTAGAAGGTTATTGTTTCGAAAAGACAGAAAACATTTTCTAGACAAGGAATCAGAGGGGGGCGACGAACAAAGGGAATTGAATAGGCCGATATGATTTTTAAAATTGTTGGATGAGCACCCAACGACTTCCACCGATCGTTTATATTTTTTAGTTGGCCTGCGTAAAATGGTTTCTGAATTGGTAGAACATAGTCATTTATGGTTTTTTCTATCTCTCTTGAAGGGCAATGACTTTTTGTTTTGGAAGCGGAATCTATCTTTTTCTTGGACCTTTTTCTTCGAATTTGAGCTCAACTTATTATCAAAGTTCTGACGCGTATGAGAATAAGATAATCTCAGAATTTTCTTTGGACGAGAATCATAAGAATATCGATGGTTATTTTGAGGCAACCGTCTTTTCAGAACTTATTGGGTTTGGAACCATGTTCTTTTTTGAAGTGATCAAACTGTTCTTCATCAAAGATGTGAGAATTCGATGAAGGGATTTTTTGCAAGAAATGTGTCATGGCAGGGTTAGATCCACTATAATATTTGCGGCGCGAATCTAGAACCTCAGCACTTTTTCCACAAACATACTGTAACGAATCGTCTGATATGACCCTAAAATCCGACTGTGATACCCTAAAAATAAAAACGAGTTCATTTGTGTGCTCGGGGTGATTTGTAATGAATTCAGAGAGACCCTCCTGGAAACATTTTCGTTGTTTCAAGATTGCATGACAAAGAGTTCCATAGGAAGAATTGGTTTTTGCCAAGAAATCACTATAAATAATTATCAGATACGAAAGTAAGCCCATGGTTCACATGGAGATGGGAAAATACAGGCGACGCATGATATTTTTTCAGGACATCAGCATACCTTATTTTGTCCCAAGAAGGCTTGCCAAATCGTTGACATTCAATTCCTTCCTTTTTAAATTCTGGATCTGGTTCTGATATGGCCGGCTCGTGCTCTTTCGTGGCAGGGGAGGAATTGAATAAAACATTCTCTTTATTTGCACTAGGAATTGAAGAAGGTGCCTGTCAACTAGAACCAACGCTTTCGTCTCCTATGGGCTCATCATTCCAGTTCTCATCTCCAGACTCATCAGAGCACTGCTCTGACTCTTCATGTCTTGAATTATTCAAAACTCTCTCTAAAATTGCCTGTAGAACGTTTTGCTGTTCTTACAAATCCATGCGAGACGACACCGATTGCTTTTTTGAAATTACCGTGGGAAGGTCCCTTCGTTCTTGTTACTAGTAAATGTTTAATAGCATCAATAGATTGAGAAACTAGTTGATGTTGTACAAAAAAAAGAATCTCTCATCTGAATTGATGATGTAACCGGGCTATAAATTGAACCTCTACAACAACTCCATTTCAGCATCTTGCTTTTCATCTCTCTATATGGCTTTTCCATTGGACTGACTGCCTCTAGATTGAAGGCTTTTGAGATTCCTACTGTAGGCAAAGCAAATCGAATTTTGTTCAACAGTTGCGAATCAACGTCTCCGTCTAAGCTACACGGTGACTTGCATACTGTCCAGTTTTTTTATCCATCAGGTAGATGTTCATTAGCTAGTTTCTTGAGCCTTTTCAAAACATCATCCACATCGTCCTACACATTTTGTATAAATAACTCTCCCATGCTGATAACATCTGTGTTCAACGCCATCTGAAAGAAAAGCGAAAAACTTTTCTCAGTTTATTCCTCAGCTAGGGAAGACACGATAGACCAGGAAACGAGCCGAACGGCTGAAAATTAGGGAGGTACGGCTGAAAATTTGGGTGTACGGCTGAAAATTTGGGAGGTACGGCTGGAAATTTGGGAAGTACGGCTGAATAGACTAGCCGTATGGCTGCAAATTTGGGCCGTTGGGCTGGAAATTCGAGCCTTGCTGTTGACAAAACAGAAAATTTGTCAGATTCGCCTTATATACAGCCCAAACTTTTTATTTTGGGCCAAGGGCACTAAAGTTCATAATGAGGTTTTGTATTTGAGCTGAAAGGCTGCAAATACTCATAAAGAGCAGCTAGGTGATCAGATGAAGTTTGCCGTTTAAATTCCGTTCAGTGCCTGAGAAATTATAAAAGTACATACCATTGGTAGATTCA